ATTTTCACTACACCATAGCAATAAATTGTCAATATCACGCTGAAGGTGCTATACAGTCGAGGATGGAACCGATGGTTCTGTACATTTTCAGGTCATCGACAAACAGCTGCTTGAATGATGAGATACGTGGACACTAATCATTTACTAACAATACGAAAATCAATGGTCCCAGCACACTGCCTTGTGGTACACCGGAAGTGATTGAAAACGATTCCGAACGAGTAGAGTTTTACGACACGAAAGCATTACAATTCGTCGGGTAAGACCGAATCCAGTCAACCAGCCAAGAAGAGTCCTACAGCGTTCACTTTTTCACAAGCACGTGCGTCAAACGCTTTTGAAAAATCATTGTAGACCGAGTCAACCTGAATGCGAGGTTTGACCTCATCGGAACAGTGTGTTGGTATAGCACCTTGAGACTCGTGGATGTAGAACGATGTTGAACAAACCCATGTTGATACTCCGATATTAAAGCTGGGTTTAGACAGGGCAAGTCAATTGATCAAATCAGTTGAATTCAACTGACTTGAACGCGAATTGAACGTGTAAACCATGCCATTCAACTGACCTGATCAACTCACTTAAATTGAAAAAAGTTAAACCAGGCTCAACTTTTCAAGCCAACTGAATTCAACTGAGTTGATCATTTGACTTGCCTTGTCTAACCCAGCTTAAAGAATGAACAACACTGTAAAGTGCTCCGTGCACTAGGGTTTCGAAAGCCTTGCTAATGCAGTATAGAAATGAAATACCCCGATAGCTGTCAGCGTGATTACGATTACGCAGTTCCATTCCATATGCTGGGGATCGTCCTCTTGGAGAGCAAACGGTTGAATATACAGCAAATCTGGAAAACTAGCGAGCGAGCGCAGTATTTCAGGAAGTACGGATGAATTCCGTCAAATCCGGGGCCTTTGATGCATTAAGATCGTTCAAAACTGTATGGACATCATCTGGCGTGAACCGCCGTATGGGGAAATTCAAGTCATATTCATGTTAATCGTTGACACTGGAAGCGGGAGCTGCCAAGCTTGGGTGCCTTGCACGATAAACACCTTGAAAAAACGTGGCAAACCAATGTGCGATCTCTTCCGGCAATGTTGCGGTTACGCCGTCTAGAACAACTGTGTTGGGTAGGCGATTGCACATCCCTTGCGACTTCACGAATTTCCAGAAATTCGATGGCTTACGTCTCAGGTTTGACTGTGTCAGTGTGAAAAACAGTTTGCGGGAGTTTGTTGCAGAGGTGACGCATTCCGCATTCCTCTGTATTCCACCCGGGGTTCCACGCGGAGTAGCCGGAGAAAGGTCTACGAAGAGGAACACACTCGTGGAAAATTGCGTGCAGTTTTTCGTAGAACTGATTGAAGTGCACATCGAGGTTCAGAAGGAATGGCCTGTGATGGATTTCAACATTATGCAGTGGAAGCGCTGGTTCAAGGAGATACAAAACGTCTGGATTGGTAGTGCATGCCAAATCAAGCAGCTTGCAATTTGTATTTACCTGAAATAGATCATTAGCAACCATTTCTTCGGTAAGAGAGTTTGAAGGCAGATAGGCCGTTCATGTTCTCGTCCAAATTCCAGAGTAAAAGAGGGAGATTATAATCACTCATGATGATATCATCGCTCAAGGACGTCTCTGAAATATTCCGTATAGCTACGGCATGGGACTTGTAGAGCTCCGGACCTGATAAAGGGCGAACGTATATTCCGGAGATGAACAGTGAGCGTTTCTCCAAACTAATTCGGACAATGACCTGCTCGAGCTGACCACAGTTTTCCAACAAAACCAAGGAGCAAGGGTGCACCAATTTGACTGCTAAGGAATATATGGTAGTCCGTCGAAAGTTCACAGTCGGATATGTCCGGTCGAAGCTAGGTTTCTGTTAAAACCACTGCATCGTAATTACAGCTCGGCAGTCTCAATCTGATTGAGTTATGAAGCTAGAGCGAATTGGAAACATGACTTGTTTCAGTGAGGTTTGGAGCTTTCGATATGTTGCTACGTTTTTACACTATTCCTCAACATTGGGCGATTTAATTCCAATAGTTTCTCGTGACTGCTTCAACTTGACTGCTCCTTAAGGATGGTTTAACAGGTCTGCTACCATCTTGTCCGTAATGTAATATTGGATAGTTACAATACAGTTCTCCACAAGGTCCTCCACAAAACAGTATTTTGTGTCAAAGGGTTTTGACTTTTGAGTGGTTCTATCTGCATCGGAAAGAGCAATACAACTCAGATTGTCCTCGTTGACCAGCACAGGTAACTTCAGTTTCTCGCCAAGGTCGTCCATTAATTTGCGAACCCACTGTAGTTCTTGTAGACATTCCGCAAGTGCCATGTATTCTGCTTCTGTGCTGGATAACGAAACTCCAGTCTATTTCCTGCATCTCCCATTGATCAGTCCACCACATAGCTTGAAAATTTAACCGGTATTTGATTTCCGTTCACCGACTTTGCCAGCCCAGTCTGCGTCAGCAAAGCATTCTAGTTTGAAGTGTTTTGTGTATCCCAAAAGTAGTTCGTGGTCTATTGTGCCCTTGAGATACCGCAAAACTCTGTTAGCTTCGTTCCAGTCGGCTTTAGTTGGTTTCGATACCCGCCTTCCAAGTACATAGGTTGCAATCGCCCTATCGGGTCTGGTGTTGACGGCAATATACTACAAAGCATCTACCAAACTCTGGAACTGATATTGGCTTATTCCTCCTTTTGTTGGAGAAAGCCGGTCTTTAAAAACCTTCGCATTTTCCATTTGGAAACGTGACAGCACCTTAGCTATGTAATTCTTTTGATTCAGAAAACAAAATTTCCATCCTTTTCATCATCAGCAGCGAGTGTAACGTTTTGCTTGTGAGCAGCGACCATTACTGTTGATTGTTGTTTGCCATGGCTCTAACTCTCACTGCGTGACAAAACGATCTGTCAGCGATAGTCAGTTGATGCGAAGACGAGTGTCACGTGAGTGTCATGATATTTTGCATCACTGTTTACGTACATACATTTTTGTTCCTTAAAAGACTTGTGCGGATTGCTTCATGTGGGCTATGATGGACCTTTTAGAAACTTTCAAGTTGCTAAGAAGTTCCGCAGGGAATTTTTAAGATACTTTAAAGTTGCTAAGAAGTTCCGGCTGGAATCTGTTTGGAACTTTGTTTTCAGCCTTACTTGAAGTTCCTAAGTGCTCAGGGATGCTTTTTTTGAACTTCAAGTTTGCTAGTAGTACGCATCGGAACTTTTTGGAGCCTGAAATTCCTCGTGTGCTTTCTATAGCTTCTAAAGTAGCCAGAAAGTTGTGTTGAAACTTTATATGCACTTTATAGAACTTGAAAGAAAGTACTTTTGGTTGCTTGCGAAGAAAGTACTGTCGAAACTCTATTTGAACTTTATGGAACTTGAAAGTTCTGTCGGAACTTTATTCGAAGTTTATGGAACTTGAAACTTCTGTCTGAACTTTATTGCAACTTTATGGAACTTGGAAATGAGTTTTATCGTTGAATGCGGAATGGTTTTCTTTCAGCTGGTCACTTAAGCCTACTTTGCGAGTTGAAGTCCTTCCCCTTTGAAACCAGTTTCACCACCTTTGGTTGCACATTGGTTAAGTCGAGACACTCAGTAACAAGTCCCGCAACTGGCTCTCCGAGGATGTTGGATGGAAAGTGGATAAGTAGATCCAGAATAGATCGTCGCTGGGACGACCATCCAGTCGGACAGTTTTGATTGTGTTGGTTGCCTTTGAACCCATGTTAATCGGGACGCTGGGAGTGTCGACAATTTTCCCGTCGGTACCTACGTAGTTTATGAACGGCCCCACAGTTTAGTTAACCAATTTTCGGAAATTATTACATTACAGTTTAGTGAAAGATTGTATTAGCTAGCAAAAGCAACATCAAACGCACTGAGCAATGTTAATCCAGCCGAGTTAATTGAGAAAAGATAAAATCGATGAAGAGCACCGATCATCGCAGTTAGGCCCTTATGATTCTGAACGCTAGAATATCTACTTGTGGAGAGATGACTGTACATACAAAGCTGGAAATATTTTCTAGATAGAAGTTTTCTATCTCCGGCAAAGTTGTTCCGTTGCGCTGCGTTTGTAACGGAATAATTCGAAGATTGCATACTGGCAACTGTCATGTATCTACTTTAACGTTTTTGGTAAAGTTGTTATGAATACTAATAGAAATATAATGCAAAAAAATACAAAGAAAGGGTCTCACCCGAATGATCCTCCTCGTGATTCTTAAGCTTAAGATCCGATCCGATGAACTGCAAAATTAAAAAAACGTCACTTCTTCAGCGCGACCTACTTCGATCTCTCTCTATCTCCGGAAAAATTGTTCAGATTGACAAAGTCTAGTAGATCAATAAACTATTTAATTCGGAAATATCCCACTAGTCAGCGCTAGTATCAATCTAGATCTGAGGGAAAAGATCAATGTTGTAGGTTTTTTACACATGCCACATTAATAATATGCAGTTTTCCTATGGAGAACTGTTACAACCCTAATGAGATAACTATTCTCAACTAATAAATGCGAACTTAAACTAAATGGATTCACATTGTAAAAACGAATGTTTATTTTAAAACAGTACTATACAATCTTGGAAATCATAAACAATTACGACATTTCAAAGTCTCCTCGTTTGTATAACTATCTCTGCCTAATTAAGCAACTAAATCCACCTCACCATGTCAGTGCCATAAATTTTCCAAGCCCACTGAGACATTAAATATCCTAATTTAAATGCAAATTTCCCTCCATTATCATTAAATCTTCCACTCTGATAAAGAAAAGTTGCATTGCTGCTGCCGTTCTCCGATGCAGTTGTATCATTCTGCAAACAGCCGTGCGCGCCATAACATCCATAATCCCGTCTGCAAACAAACGCTTAAACCGGCCTGATTTACCGCAACCAAAGCTGTTCCATAAAATATTTCTATTTCTGCACACACAAATGTAAAATAAAAAAAAATATCCCTCAATCATTACAGCTCCCCCGGAATGCGAGCAGGGCCAGATCAGCTGCGGCCAGTACGTGTTCAACAAGACGTACTGCATACCACCGCACTACAAGTGCGACATGACCGTCGACTGTGTGGACGGAACGGACGAGTCCGACTGCAGTAAGTATCTTGATTAGTATTGGGTTCTGGGGAATGTTCCCGATTTGGGTTCGAGGAATTCCGAACCAGCCTAGACTGGTGTGATGATCATCGTAGTTGCGAGTAACCGGTATCGATGGTTACTTAATTGATGATGATGATGATCAGAGCTCAGAGCGATTGCAATCAAAGCCGAAAGTCGTGACCAGTTCTGCGACTATGGTTAGCGAAAGAAACCCTGCTGGCGGGGAGAGGTTCTAGGTATAGCAGCATCACATCTTCCATCGCATCTTTTCCGCTTTTGCACAAGTACAAAACCACCTTCATCTAGCTAGGCACGTAGTTCAGCCGGAGGAGGAGGAGGTGCAGGGGGTGGAGGTGGAGGGGTAGAGCGAGTTTGTGTGTTCTAAAGTGCGCTGAGCTCAGCGCAATTCAAGGTGATCCACTTTCCACGAGAACCGAACCTACTGACTGGCTCTGACACTAGAAGGCGGCTGGGAACGAATACATGTGGCTTGCTTCAGTGTTTTGTGTTGTGTTGTGTCTCTCTGTGGCTTTTCTGTAGTGTAATATGGATGTCTCTCAGTTTCAGCGACTTGAGACTTAGGCTTAATGTGTTCTAGGCTGCTGGAGGCGCTTGTTTGTGTATATATTTTTTTTCGCGGCCGGCCTTTTCTAGTCTTATTCTGCTACCGTTGCAGCTGCTGGCTGAGGGACCGGCTCATGGTTGCCCCGATAGAGGGGTGTTCAGTTTTGTGCAATTGTAGAAAATTTGACGTAAAATTTGTCGAGACATCGCACAACAACACGAAACTCAAGGAATTCGAATGCTAAATCAGGACAGCATATAAGACGTTGTTGAGCTTTTAGAACTTTTAAAACTTAATTTGGAGAACCTGAAATACTACAAGATTACATCTAAGTATCCCCACAATATCCATCACCAAGCTCTACGGGTACAAACATGTAGTCAGGACATCGGCTGTAGAACTTTAGGATCTAAACTCCAGGCACTTTGTAGAACAAAAGATATTTTGCTAAATCAGCTTTCTCAAAGTTTTACGATTTACCTTTGCAGCGAGAAAGTTATTTGCTTCTTTCTGCAAATATGTGGATTTTCAAAGCATTGATAACTTTGTAGAATATTGAAAAAATAATAATATTCAAACAACAAAGTTATCGCAAATAAACGCTTTTTAAGGGGGTACTACCGTCTGTACTCCATTTTAAGCCTACAACTTCGACCACTTGATGTATAGAAAATTTTCTTCTTGGACAAAGTTTCTTAAAAAGACTTTATCTACAATGTTTCCATAGATGTCGATCAATTTTAACAACACATAAAACAGTTTTTTTATCTGAGTGTATACCCCCCTTAAGCAAAATTTTTCACTACTGAAATAAAGTACTCTAAAATTAAGAAACATTCTAGAAGACATCAAAATGCTACACTCAATAATTTCGTCGCAAATAGCCTTGTCCCACTTTTGTTGATTTCGTCGCGCTTTTTGGCGTACCGATTCGATATTTTTCAACAAATCATGACTTGAAAACTTCACTTTCAATCTAAATGACGTCTGACGCAAAGTTATAGGAAAAAATTACACCCTTTTCAGGAAAAATACATGGCAAAATTTAGAAGTAATTTGAAATAACAAAAAATTACCATATTCAATACTTTTTGAATAGGTATATTAGAAGTCTTATGAAAAATGCTATCTTCTGTGGACTCAAATTGGACTCTTAAAAACTGCCCAAAAAATCCGTACATTTACAATAAATTCCAAAAACTTCCCATCAGCTCAAAGAGCTCTCCAGAAGTTCCATAAACTTTCCAGAAAATTCAAGAATTTCCCAGAGTTTCCGAGAACTTCCCGAGAAGATGCGAGAACTTCCCAACAATTTCGAAAACTTCCTATCAGTTCAGAGAGTTTTCCAGAAGTTCCGAGACCTCTTAGAAGATTTGCGAATTTCCCAGATGATCCGAAAAATTCTGAAGACTTTCAAATAGTTCCGAGTACTGCCCAGAATTTCCGACAGATTCTTACAAGATGCCTGCACTTCGAAGAACATCCGAGAACTACTCACAATTTCTGTGAGCTTCCTAGAAGTTTCTTCCAAGAGCTGTACAGAAGATCCTTGAATTTCCCAAAAATTCCGAGAACTTTTCAAAATTTCCGAGAACTTCCCAGAAGATCCAAGAACTTTTCAGAAGTTGAACTTTTCAGAAATTCTGGAACTTCGCAGTTTCCATTTTTTTTTTCTAGAAATCCCAAGAACTTCTCAGAAGTTCAAAGAACTTGAAAATAATTTAAAAAACGTCCCATAAATTTCAAAATTTTCCCAGAAGATGCCAGAACTTCCCACCAGAGCCGAGTACTTCTCAGAAATTGCAAGGACATCTCCGAAGTAAGAAGCTTTTCCCAGAATGTTCATGTCCTATCTAAAAATTCTTCGTTTTAGAAAATCTGAGAACTTTGCAGTCTGCAGTTTTTCTAGAAATCCCAAGAACTTCTGAGAAGTTCAAAGAACTTGAAAATAACTCAAAGAACGTCCCATGAATGTCCAAATCTTCCCAGAAGATGCGAGAACTTTCAGGAAGATTCGGAAATCACCCAGATTGTAAGATACTAGGAAATTCCGAGAACTTCCCAAATATTTCGAGAACATTCCCCATTCTCCTAGATCTTCCCAGATATTCCAAAATTTTCTCAGAAGTTCCAAGAAGTTCCCACAAGATCCGAGTACTTTTCGGAAATTGCGATAACTACTCGGAAGTTATAAGGTTTTTCCAGAATTTTCAAGACCTTTCTAAAAATCCTCCAATTCCAAGAAGAAGAAGACCGTTGAATTTCCCAGAAATTCCGTGAACTTTCCCAGAAGATCGGTCAATTTAACAGAAATTCCAAGAACTTCTCCGAAGTTCAGAGAACTTGACAATAATTCCGAGAACGTTCCATAAATTTAGAAATCTTCCAGAAGATGCGATAAATTTCCAGAATTTAAGGAAATTACCCAGAATTCCGAGAACATCCCAAACATTCCAAAAACTTTCATTCAAACATTTTCTTAGATCTTCTCAGAGCATCCAAAAATTTCCCAGAAGTTCCGAAAACTTCTTACAAGATTCAAGTACTTCTCAGGAATTGGGTTAACTTCTCAGAAGTTAGAAAGTTGTCCAAGAATTTTCATGACATTTCTAGAAATCCTGAAAACTTTCTTAAAGTGCTTTCCAAGAAGAAGAAGATCATTGAATTTCCCAAAGATTCCGAGAACTTTTCAAAAATTCCGAGAACTTTCCAGAAGACCGGTCAATTTCATAGAGCTTCCTAGAACTTCTCAGAAGTTCAGAGAACTTTCCAGAAATTCTGAAAACTTCGCAGAAGATCTGTAATTTCTCTAGAAATTCTAAGAACTTCTCCGAAGTTCAGAGAACTTGACAATAGTTCCGAGAACATTCCAAAAATTTAGAAATCCTCCAGAAGATGCGATAAATTTCCAGAAGTTAAGGAAATTATCCAGGATTCTGAAAATGTTCCCAAACATTCCAAGAACTTTCCACATTTGTCTTGATCTTCTCAGAGCATCCAAGAATCTCCCAGAAGTTCCAAGAACTTTTCACATGATCCGAGTACGTCTCAGGAATTGCGATAACTTCTCAGAAGCTCCAAAATTTTCATGACATTTCTAAAAATCATGAAAACTTCTTTGAAGTTCCAAGTACTTCAGAAGATCCTTGGATTTCCCAGAAATTTAGAGAACTTTCCAGAAATTCTGAGAAATTTCCAGAAATTCTGAGAAGTTCGCAGAAGATCTGCAATTATTTTAGAAATCCTAAGATCTTCTCAGAAGTTCAGAGAACTTGACAATAATTCAAAAAACGTCCCATAAATTTAGAAATCTTTCCAGAAGATTTGGTAACTTTCCAGAAGATTCGGGAATTACCCAGAATGTAAGACACTAGGAAATTCTGAGAACTTTCCAGACATTCCGAGAATTTTCCACATTTTCCTTGATCTTTCCAGAGTTTCCGAGAACTTCCCACAATATCCGAGTAGTTCTCAAGAATTGCGATAATTTCGCAGAAATTAGAAGGTTTTCACAGAATTTTATGACTTTTCTAAAAATCCTGAAAACTTCCTAAAATGTTCTTCCAAGAACAGTTCAGAAGATCCTTGAATATCCCGAAAATTCCGAGATCTATCCAAAATTGCGAGAACTTCCCAGAAGAACGACGAATTTCACAGAAATTCCGCGAACCCTGCAGAAGTTCAGAGAACTTTCCAGAAATTCTGAGAGCTTCGCAGAAGATCTGCAATTGATCTAGAAATCTCAAAAAGTTCCTTCCAAGAACTGTTAAGAAGATCCTTGAATTTCCCTGAAATTCCGAGAACTTTCCGAAAATTCCGAGAGATTCCCAAAAGACCGGCGGATTTCACCGAAATTCCAAGAACTTCTCAGAAGTTCAGAGAACTTTCCAGAAATAATGAGAATTTTGCAGAAGATCTGTAATTTCTTTAGAAATTCTAAGAACTTCTCAGAAGTTCAGAGATCTTGACAATAATTCAAATATCGTCCCATGAATTTCGAAATCTTTCCAGAAGATACGAAGAATAGGAAATTCCGAGAACTTCCCAAATATTCCGAGAAATTTACACATTTTCCTAGATCTTCTAAGAATTTCCAAGAACTTCTCAGAAGTTCCGAGAACTTTCAGAAGTTCCGAGAACTTTCAGAAGTTCGGAGAACTTTCAGAAGTTCCGAGAACTTTCAGAAATTCCAAGAACTTCCCACGATATCCGAGTACTTCTCAGGAATTGCGATAGCTTCTCAGAAGTTAGAAGGTTTTCCCATAATTTTATGACCTTTCTAAGAATCTTGAAAACGTCTTAGAAGTTCCTTCCAAAAACTGTTCAGAAGATCCTTGAATTTCCCAGACATTCTGAGAACTACCAAACAATTCTGAGGACTTCCCAGAATACCGGCGAATTTCACAGAAATTCCAAGAATTTCTCAGAAGTTCATAAAACTTTCCAAAAATTCTGAGAACTGAACTGCATTTTTTCAAGAAATCCCAAGAACTTTTCAATAATTCAAAGAACGTGCCATAAATTTCAAAATTCCCAGAATTTTCGTGAATTTCTCAGAATGGTAGATACTAGGAGAATTTCCCAATTATTCCGAAAACTTTCCACATTTTCCTAGATCTTCCCAGAGTTTCCAAGATCTTCTCAGAAGTTCCAACAACTTCCCATAAGATCTCAGTACTTCTCAGGAATTGCGATACTTCTCAGAAATTAGAAAGTTTCGCAGAATTATCATGACCTTTCTAAAAATCCTGAAAACTTCCAAGAAGTTCCTTGAATTTCTCAGAAATCCCGAGAACTTTACAAAAAATACGAGAGCTTCTCAGGCAAATTTCACAGACATTTCATGAAGTTATCAGAAGTTCAGATAGCTTTCCAGAAATCTTCCATAATACTCATGTAACTTCCGAGATGTTCATACAGCTTCCGAGCAGTTCTTAGAACTTCCGAGAAGTTATTCGATTCCGAGAAGTTCATAGAGCTTCTGAACAGGTCATAGAACTACCGAGGTGTTCAAAGAACTTTCGAAATGTAATGATCATGGTACATCCGAGATGTTTCGGATTTTCCATGCACTTCATTGAACTTACAAGATGTTCTTATAACTTCGGAGCAGTTCGTAAAACTTCCAAATAGTTCATAGAACTTCCAAGGTGTTCATAGAACTTCAGAGATTCTCATAGCATAGCTTCAAGAAGTTTAGTGGAGGTCCAAGAGCTTCAGCGATGTTTGAAGAACTTGACATAAGTTCCAGAGCTTTTAGCAAAGTTTCATGAATTTAAACGAAGCTCCTACCAAAGATGAATACTAAGATGAAACTGTCCGAAGAAAAACTTTCTATTTTAGTGTCTTCTTTCACCGTCCCTTTCATCCAATGAGAACCCCCCGTATTCAAGGTAATTTTGTGGTTTTGCTGCCCCTCGGAAGAGATGAAATTTTGCGCTCATTTTTATCAAAACAATCACACCAAAATCAGATATGTCCCATTTTTTAATTACTCGATTAACAACTAATCGATTATTTTTTGTTCGCTGTTCTGCCATTTTTCCACCAATGAGAGTGCAGCACATGTTTGAAACGATCGGTGATGATCCTGTGGATATGTTAATGCTTATATCGGCATCTAACCGATTATAAATAGTTTACTTTTCGGTTCGTTAATCGATTAAACGATTATTCGAATGAAAATCGGACATCACTAGATGAATGTGAAACGTCATTTCAAATATAAGGCCGTTCATAAATAATGATACAATTTGAAAGGGACCGGGGCTAATCACAAATTACGTCTCCATGGTAACTGAAATAAACACGAGTGTTCACGGGTTGCTCCTACCAGTTCAGAGACCTTCCTTAGCTCAGTCGGTAAAGGCGCAGCTACAAAGCAAGACCATGCTTCTAGGTGGCTGGGTTCGATTCCCGGTCCGGCCTAGGAATTTATCGGGTTGGAAAATTTCTCGACTTGCCTGGGCAAGACTATGATTGTACTTGCCACACTAATTATACTAATGCAAAAATGTTACAAGCATCGGAAGCTCTCAATTAATAATTGTGGAAGTGCATCTAGATCACTAAGTTGAGAGCACGCAATAAGCTAATATGCGATAAGCAATAAGCTTTAAATGCGTATAAGAATAAGAAGATAAATCATTCAATCGTTTCAGCAAAGTTCAAAACAATTCTGACAGTGCTAACATTTCCAACAAATTTCCAAAAGTTTGATATGAACCCCGAGAACTTCACATAAATTCTGAGAAATTCAGATAATCTCAGAAAATTTCGGAAAAAATACGAAAATTTCAAAAAACTTCTAAGAACTTTGAAGGAGTGCTGAGAACTTCAGACGAATTCCAAGAATTTCGGAGTGGTTCAAGTTCTGAAGATAAGCAAGCAAAGTCCAAAAATTTCAGTGATCTTCCAAAAATGTCAACGAAGTTCCAAAAATGTCAGCGAAGTTCCTAGAACTTCAGTAATATTTTGAAAAATTCAGTAAACATCCAAAAATTTCAGCGAAAATTTAAGAACTTGAGGTAGGCTCCGAGACATTTTGAGAACATTGTAGAGCTTCTTTCCTGCTGACTGTAAAACTTTCGTGAAGTTCTCGGAGTTTCCCTTAAGTTCTAGGAGCTACCCTAAAATTTTCTGGACTTCTATGAAGTTCACGAAGTTTTCCTGATGTTCTCTGGACTCGTGTGTTCTCTAAGATTTCCTGAAAGTTTATAACTTCCCTGGAGTTCTTAGAACTTGCCTGAGATTTTCAGAACTTTTTTAAGGTTCTCGAAATTTTTCTGATGTTAAAACAAAATAATTTACGTACTTCTTAAATTTTCAATGAAGTTCTCTAAATTTTCCTTAAATTGATGGAACTGCCCATCAATCATTGAAAATAATTCTTGGAACTTTCCCAAAAGTCCACTTCCTGATGTTTTATGTGTTTTTCTGATGTTATTTGAACATCCCGAAAGATCTCTGAACTTCTGTAAAGTTCTCTTGACATCCCTGAATTTCTAAGAAATTTATAAAAGTTCTTAGTATTCTTCTAAAGTTAATTGAATTGACAAAAAGCTGCTAGATCGGGGCCTCACTTAGATCAGTCGGTTAAAGGCACAGCTACAAAGCAAGACCATGCTGGAAATTATGGCCCTATTTTTCTAATGTTCTGGAAATTATAATGCTACTCATATAACTCCTCTGAAAATCGTGAAGAGTCCCTGAAGTTTTCGGAACATTCTTGAAATTCTCGTAACATCCCATAATTCCACCGGACTCCTTTGAAAGTTTCTGAATTCTTCCTGAAGTTAATGGGACTTCCTCAAATATAATGAAACTACCCTAGAACCTTGAAAATCTTTGACCTTCTTTGAAATTCTCTAGACTTGTTTTCAGAGATTTCAGAACTTCTTGAAAATTCTCGCAATGTTCATAAAACTAATGAAACTGTCTTGATGTTTTCTAATTTTCGCTGAGGTCTCGATCTTTTTTTTTAGTTCTCGAATCTGTCTTTAAGTTAATTCCTTGAAGAGTCCAAAAATGGCCGCTCTATCACTTCAAGTTTTCTAGATCACAAATTCCGGAGACTGCACTGCAGCAAACGTGGAGTTTCAGTTTCATTGTTCTGTGTCCATCAGAAGCTGATATTTGTGCACCTGAATTTCGAGGTTATAATATGATCAATCAGACTGCAGGTTTCCACAGCGATTTATCTTAAAAATACGGAAGTTTACTTAAAATATGTTGACACTCCCAACAAACAATTTGAGTTGATTAACAGTTGAATAAGCCATTTTGTAGTTGAAGAAGTTTATTTTTGCCTGAATAAGCTTTTATTCAACATTCAATGTTTGTTGGGTTGTCCTGATAGTTGATGTAACTTCCCTAACGTTTCCAAAATGTTCATGAACCTTTTGAGACTTTGCTGAAGTTTTCCTCGCAGAACTTACCTGAAATGTCTGGGGTTATCTAAATTTTACAGAAGTTAATGGAACTGTCTTGAATTTATTGGAACTAACCCTTACAGATTTTTACACTTACACGAATGTAATGACTTTCCTGAAGTTCCTGGAACATCCCTGAGTTATTGGAACCACCCTCTGAAAATCGCTAAAGATCTCAAGACATAGCTTCTTTTTTAAAGATTGAACCATTTTCCTCAAGTTCTCTCTTCTCTGAAGCTCTCTTGATGTCCCTGAAGTTTTCTGGATATGTCTGAAGTTATCATTACTTCTTAAAAGAACCTGCAGTTTTCCTGAAGCTAATGGAATCTTTAAATGGCCTTAAAATTATTGATGCTTCTTAAAATATACTTAAACTTCTCTTCTCTGGACTTCCGTGAAACTTCGGAATCTTCTGTGAAGCTCCCGAAATTTTTCTTAAGTTCCCTAAAGTTTCCTGAAGATCTTTGGACTATCCTTAAATTATCGGAACTTCTTGAAGATTCCCGCTATTTTCCTGAAAACATGTGACCGCGCTGAAATCAAACTGCTTAATGGGTGCAACAAATTTTAATTTTTGTAACCATAAGTAACTACCATGACAGGCCTGTACCCAAGGATCCCACCACCCCTGATGTATTTGCTTATCCGGATTACTGTTCAGATTTTAACAGCGCAAGACTCCCCAAACGGACTTACCGTAAATTGGCCAATAACATTAATCCATTTTCTCGCAATGATTACAAGTTGAACACCCCTATCGGAGCGCGTCCAAGTCGCTCTGCTGACCGCAATAATTACAAGTGGGACATGTTTCATGCGAAAAAATCACAGCCCGGCCGGTCTCCAGCGAAGCGAAGACACAATTCAACGAGACATAATAGCCTTAAATTGTCGCTCAAATTAATTCTCTTACGTATAGCTGCAATTGCAACTAATTTGCTTCCTGTTCCCTTCCCCTGTCTGTTTCTTCCTCTACCTTTTCTCGAGCAGCTTACCGCAAGTGTCAACCGGATGACATCCACTGTGGGACGCCGTCGCAGTCCGTGTCGGTGAATGGACGCGTCGCCGATATCTGTGTGCCAAAGGAGAAGAAGTGCGACGGTTATATGGACTGTCGGACCGGCGTGGACGAGGAGGGCTGCCCGGGCATCGCCTGCCAGCTGGACCAGTTCCGATGTGCCAACGGGCTGCGCTGTATTGAAACGGCGCTCAAGTGCAACCACAAGAACGACTGCAGTGACAACTCGGACGAGCAGAATTGCAGTAAGTATCGTTAATCACGCTCATGACCTTGGTTGATGCGGATCTTCCACGAAGTAGAAGATCATCATCAATCATAACAGCTTGAAGAGGCGCTAAAATCCGCTAATTGCAGAGATAGCTATCGTCCCGAGTAGTTCATTAATCAACCGTTCATTTTCTTCGCAGACTTTCCACCATGTCACGGCGGTCAGTTCCGATGCGCGAATTCGCTCTGTATCCCGGCGAATTTCCATTGCGACGGCTATCACGACTGTTCGGACGAAAGTGACGAAGCCAACTGTACGGCGATCGCCTGCCCGGACAACAAGTTCCTATGCCCTCGGGGTGGACCGGACGGGAAACCGAAGTGTATCGCCAAGACGAAACTGTGCGACGGAAAGCGGGACTGCGAGGACGGAACCGACGAGGAGACTGCTTGCTGTAAGTTCTCAGTTGATATTTTTTTAACTGTACCGGGTCTTCATTGTTTATCTCGTTTCAGCTACGACAACGTGTCCGGCCCTGAATTGCGAGTACAAATGTGGACCATCGCTCACTGGCGGAGTGTGCTACTGTCCACCGGGACGAACTCTGTCCCCGGACAACCGAACCTGTAGCGATCTGGACGAGTGTAACGTTTGGGGTCACTGCGATCAGCTGTGCACCAATACCGATGGGTCGTACTCCTGTGCCTGTGCCAACGGTTACACACTGATGGACAAGTCTCGTTGCGTCGCACCCACGGCTTCGAATCTGGAACTGATATTCGCGTACGATCGAGCGATCGTACGGATGAGCTCGCACGGTCAGGACTTTAGGACCATCGCTAACGCCACCGGAGCTAGCGGATTGGCCTATCACCACAACAAGAACTTGCTTTTCTGGTCCGACATCAAAACCCGCAAGGTACAATCCCAAGTCCTGAAGGACGGAGGTTACGGTGGGCATGATTTCACCCTGCCCGGAACATGGGCTCCGGTGGCAATCGCAATCGACTGGATCGGTGACAAACTGTACGTTGCCGATTTGGTTGGTCAGAAGGTCGACGTTTTCGAACTTGATGGACGATGGCGCGCCGTAGTCCTAGGTTCTAACCTTACCAGCCCTGCCGATCTCGCCTTGGATCCAACTTCAGGCCTGATGTTCGTCGCCGACGGAAGTCATGTCCTGCGAGCCCACATGGATGGAACCCATGCCAAATCGATCGTCTCCGAAGCGGCCTACAAGGCCTCCGGCGTGGCCGTAGACGTGATCGCCAAGCGTGTTTTCTGGTGCGACTCGCTTCTGGACTACATCGAATCCGTGAACTACGATGGCGAATACCGGGTGATGATTCTCCGTGGTCAGCAAGTTCCAAGCCCATCCCGGTTGGCATTGTTCGAAAACCGAGTCTTCTGGACGGACGCCACCAAACAGGGTATCATGTCCGTGGATAAATTCGAAGGTTCCTCCAGCATTCAATCAATCTTCAAGGCAAAGGATATCCGCGAACCGAAAGCGATCATCACGGTGCATCCGATCGCGCAGCCAAAGGTGTCCAATCCCTGCGGTAGCAACAACGGAGGATGCTCGCAAATGTGCGTCGTCACGGCCGTTCAGGGTGCTCCTTCCGGGTTGGGCTACCGTTGCGCCTGTACCACCGGATGGCAGCTGTCTAAGGATCTGATGAACTGCGAACTGGTACGACAGTTCCTGATGTACTCGCAGCAGCGATTCATCAAGGGTAAAGTGCTGGATCCAGTCATCGAGGGATTCAGCGATGCCATTCTACCGGTCGTTTCGCGGCGAGCTCGTTTCGTCGGTCTGGACTTTGATGCCGTCGATGAACACATCTACTATTCGGACGTCCTGCAGGATGTGATCTACCGAGTTCACCGTAACGGAACCGGACGGGAGATTGTACTCGCATCACAGAACGAAGGCGTTGAAGGTTTGGCTGTGGATTGGGTATCGAAGAATCTGTATTACATCGACAGTCGGAAGGGAACGTTGAATGTTCTGTCCACCAGGATAGTCAGCCACAGGAGAACGCTATTAAAGAACCTGAAACGACCACGTGCAATCGTTGTCCACCCGAACAAAGGTTACATCTACTTCTCGGAATGGGACCGACCGGCTAACATCAGCCGTGCAAATTCCGACGGAACCGGGTTGATGGTATTCAAGAACGTAACCTTGGGCTGGCCAAACGGTTTGTCGATCGACTTCAAGGAAGATCGTGTTTATTGGTGTGACGCTCTGTTGGATCACGTGCAGCATTCGAGCCTGGATGGAACGGATGTGAGAACGGTCAATTCGCGACTAATTCGGCATCCGTTTTCGATCGTAATCCACGAAGAATGGATGTACATCACGGACTGGAGGTTGGACGCGATCGTACGGTTGAACAAACTGACGGGTGAACAGGAGGAGATTATGGTTCGGGAACCGCAGACCAACCGGCTGTACGGAGTCAAAGTGTTTAGCAGATCGATTCAGCTGATAGATTCGCACCAACCGTGCGGTATCAATAACGGTGGTTGCGAGAAGTTGTGCTTCGCTGTCCCCAGGAACAGCTCCAGCGGATTGACGGTAAAATGTGGCTGCCCGTACGGTGAGCGTTTGGGAGATGACGGCAGAAGTTGCTTCGCTGATCCGAACGCCGAACCACCGATGCAGTCCTGTCCAAACACCTGGGACTTTACCTGCAACAACCAGCGGTGCATCCCGAAGAGCTGGATCTGCGACGGAGACGATGATTGCTTGGACAACAGCGATGAAGAGCAGAACTGTACAAGTAAGTAGATGAGTGGTGAATTAGTTGAGGTGGTTGATTACTAAACAATTGGATTTCCTTTTCAGAACCAACGTGCGGAACGAACGAATTCCAGTGTAAATCGGGTCGCTGTATTCCTCTGAACTTCCGGTGCGATCACGAGAACGACTGCGGCGATCATTCGGATGAGTTCGAGTGTGGAAACGTGACCTGTGCGGCTTCGCAGTTTGCGTGCGAGAATGGACGGTGCATTCCGAATATCTGGAAGTGCGACAGCGAGAACGATTGCGGCGATGGATCGGACGAGGGTGATTTCTGTGCGGAGAAGACCTGTGCGTACTTCCAGTTTACGTGTCCTCGGACGGGCCACTGTATACCGCAAAGTTGGGTGTGCGACGGGGATGACGATTGCTTCGATAAACAGGACGAGAAAGACTGTCCCCCGATTACGTGCCTGGCGAATCAGTTCAAATGTAACGACCTACGGCAGTGCGTTGAAGAAACGTACAAGTGCGATGGCATACCGGATTGTAACGACGGAAGTGACGAGCTTGGCTGTCCGACGATGGAACCGAATCAGTGCAATCTGGAGAAGCACTTCCGGTGTAAGTCTTCCGGAGTATGCATCCCTGTCGCGTGGCACTGCGATGGATCCAACGACTGCGAGGATCACTCGGATGAAGAAGACTGCGGAAAGATCACCTGCCCGAATAACTTCTACAAATGTAAGAACTCCAAGTGCATCTACAAATCGTACATCTGCGACGGTAAGGATGATTGTGGAGATGGTTCGGATGAGAGTACCGAACATGCTTGCATTACTCCACCGCAGAAGTGCCCGCATGGACAATGGGCCTGCCCAGGAATCACCGAGCGCTGTGTTAACCTCACTTCGGTTTGTGACGACGTTGAAGACTGTCCCAACGGTGCTGACGAAGGCCTTGGATGCGATCTCGCTCAGTGCCTGCATCAAACCGGTCTGTGTTCCAACGGCTGTCAGAAAACTCCACTGGGAGCGCTCTGCATCTGTCCTCCTGGCGAAGAGCTCGCTCCGGACAACTTCACCTGCAAAGATCTGAACGAGTGCGATCCACCAGGTCTTTGCTCGCAGATCTGTACCAACACCAAGGGCTCGTACTTCTGCTCCTGCACGGACGGTTACATCCTGGAACCAAACAAACACACCTGTAAGGCCGTGAACCACTCTTCTGCCTTCCTGATTATTTCCAACCGCCACTCGATCCTGGTTGCGGACTTGAATGAACAAGGCCTGGAGCGGGTACCGATTATCGTGGAAAACGTAGTTGCCACCGCTTCCAACATGCACACCGGAACCATCTTCTGGAGCGACATGAAACTCAAGAAGATATCCCGGTTAGATCGCGGCCAGGAACCTCAGGAGATCATCTCCACCGGTCTGGATCTGGTAGAAGGTCTCGCATACGATTGGATCGGCCAAAACCTATACTGGCTGGACAGCAAACTGAATACGATCGAAGTCTGCAGCGAAAATGGTTCCAATCGGTTGGTGCTGGTTCGGGAGAACATCACCCAACCCCGTGGAATGTGTCTGGACCCCAGCCCGAATGCCAAGTTCCTGTTCTGGACCGACTGGGGTGAGAACCCTCGCATCGAGCGTATCGGTATGGACGGAACGATGCGTGAAACCATCATCAACACCAAAATCTACTGGCCAAACGGGTTAACCCTGGATATTGCTACACAGCGAGTGTATTTCGCCGACTCCAAGCTGGACTTTATCGACTTCTGCTACTACAACGGAACCGGTCGTCAGCAAGTGCTAGCCGCAAGTCACTACCTGCTTCACGCGCACTCTCTGTCGCAGTTCGAGGATACCCTATACTGGACGGATCGCCAGTTGAACCGTGTTCTGTCTGCCAACAAATATCGCGGAACAAACCAAACCGTAGTGAGTCATCTGATTTCGCAGCCCTTGTCCATCCACGTTCATCACCCGTCGCTTCAACCGCTATACGAAAGCCCTTGCAAAACATCCAACTGTCAGCACATCTGTCTGCTCAGTCCTTCGGAGAAATCCGGATACTCTTGCAAGTGCAAACCGGGCTACAAGCTGATCTCCGATGGACGGTGCGTCGAGGAGGAGAACGCATACCTTATGGTCCTGAAGAACAACCAGATCGTGGATGTTCCATTCAACGGCGGTGACATCCGGGCCGGAAGCATGATTCCAGTCGTGGGTATCGAAAGTGGAATAAGCGTAGACTACGATCGGAAGGGTGAGACGCTGTTCTGGGTCCAGGGCAAGGAAGAAGACGACGAGAACTGTACGATCTATACGAGTCCGTACGGAGGCGGTAACAAGACACAGTTCCTGGGAGCAGATAACGGACTGGTCGGAGCAGCCTACACGATCGCGTTCGATTGGATCGGTAGAAATTTGTTCATCGGAAATCGCTTGGCGAGCAACATCGAGGCGATCAAGGTCGACGGAAAGGTCAAATACAGGACGGTTGTACTGGTGAACGACGGCAATAAGACTTCAGTTTCCAAACCGAAGCAAATTGCACTGGATCCAAGCAACGGAAAACTATTTTGGATCGACGAAGGCGGGTATGGAGTACCGACGAAGGTAGCGATGGCAAACATGGACGGTTCGAACCCATCGATCTTGGATGATACGGTTCAGTTCCCGGAGGCAATCACTCTGGACATCGACAAGAAAATAGTCTACTACAGTTCGCAACACCCACCGGCTGTGGTGTCGATCGAGTACGACGGAAGCAACAAGAAGACGATACTGAGCGAAGAAAACGCAATATCCAAACCGAGGGGACTTGGCGTTCTAGAATCGAGGCTCTACTACATGGATCCAACGTACGAGAAGATCGTCCGGGTAGACTTGCCCAACGGAGACAATCCGAAAACGATCATGGACAACGAGCCCGATCTGAAGAATATGATCATCTTCAAGAAGCGATCGATGATTCAGCACCCATGTATGATGAACAACGGCGGCTGCGAGCACATCTGTATTCCTAACGATAACGGAGCTCGCGTTTGCGCTTGCGGAATGGGCTACAAGAAGGACAATGAAGTTTCCTGCAACCCGTACAAGACGTTCGCCGTAGTTTCACAACTGGACATGACCCGAGGATACAGCTTGAAGGACTCGTCGGAGGCTATGGTTCCGATTACTGGCCCAGGACATCACATTCTGCACGTGGACATTCTGTACCGCGAATCGTGGATCTACTGGGTTGAGTACAATCGTGGCCACTGGAACGGAATCTTCCGTATTCGCCCGAACGGCACCGAACTGCAGAACATCATCAAGGACGGTATCGGTAGCAACGGAATCCGGGGAATCGCCATCGATTGGGTTGCCGGAAATATGTACTTCACGAACGTATTCCCACATGAGAACTACGTCGAGGTCAGTTGGCTGGACGGAACGCATCGCAAGATCATCGTAAAGACTACCAACGACGCCCCGCGTGAGTTGGCAGTGAATCCGATCAAACGGCTTCTCTACTGGATCGACTACGGTCAATATCCGAGAATTGGCAAATGTTACCTGGATGGATCCAACTGGACTCCGGTGGTCACCTCGGGAATTTCCAACCCACGTGACCTTACGGTTGACATGCTAACGCACGACGTCTACTGGGTCGATTCGAAGCTGGACATGATCCAGAAGATATCCTACAACGGAGGAAACCGACAGGTCATTCGTCGTAACCTGGCCAACCCCATGGCGATCGCTGTCCACCTCACGGACATCTACTGGGTTGATCGGAACTTGTTGACCGTTTTCAAGGCGACCAAATTCCCCGGAAATAACACACTTCCGGAGAAGGTGCGCACCAATCTTCAGAAACTGCGCGACATCACCATCTACGATATAAACAATCAACCCCCGGACGACAACAATCCTTGTCTCCGATTTGGAAATGGCGGCTGCGATCAGCTGTGTTTCAGCTTCCCACCGGAATACAACCAGAAGCCGAATTTCAAGTGTGACTGCTCCATCGGACGCCTGTCAACGGATGGCCGTCGTTGCGAGTTAGCCGACGAATACGTAGTGTTCTCCACTCGAACCGAAATCCGAGCTATCGAGCTGGACCCGACCTCCACCAACGTGCCTTTCGCTCCGGTCGTCAATCTGACCAACGTCGTTGGACTGGACTTTGACTACGCCGACAACAAACTGTTCTTCACTCAGATCCGCCCATGGGCCAAGATTGCCTACACCAAGGGAGACAAACCGGACACAACCAGTATAAAGTCGGTCATCTCCCGCGGCATCAATCCGGAGGGAATCGCCTACGATTGGACGCAGAAGAAGATCTACTGGACAGATAGCTCGAACAATTCGATCTACGCGATGAATTTGGACGGCTCAGATTTGGTGATGATCACCCGGGTTGAACGACCGCGAGCGATAGTGCTGGATCCATGCAACGGTACGCTGTACTACACGGATTGGGGACGCTTCGGAACGTCGGGTAAGATCTTCCGGACGACGATGGCTGGTTCGCTGAAGCGAGCGATCATCGACAAGGATCTGTCCCAACCGAGTGGATTGGCGATCGATTACGACGAAAGGATGCTGTACTGGACCGATGCGGTGCGAGAGAAGATCGAGCGATCGAAACTGGACGGCAAGGATAGGGAAGTATTGATATCGGCTACAATCTATCCGTTTGCGATTACGGTGTTCCGGAACTATATCTACTGGACGGATCTTCAGCTGCGAGGAGTTTATCGAGCGGAGAAGCATACGGGAGCTAATATGGTTGAGATGGTGAAGAGGTTGGAGGATTCTCCGCGAGATATCCACATCTACAGCCACAGCCGGCAGCAATGTCAAGCAAACCCGTGTCTGCAGAACAATGGTGGCTGTGCGCAGAGTTGTCACCCGGGCTTAAACGGCAAGCCAGAGTGCAAATGTGACGATACGAAGAAACCGGTTAACGAAGGAAGGATGTGCGCTCCGAAGAACCACACGTGCGATTCGAGCAAGTTCTACTGTCAAAACGGGAAGTGTATCTCCAGGATGTGGTCTTGCGATGGAGATGACGATTGCGGAGATAACTCCGATGAAGATGAGAATTACTGTGCGTTCCATTCGTGCGGACCGAACGAGTTCCGGTGCAACAATGGACGGTGTATCTTCAAGTCGTGGAAGTGTGATCACGAGAACGATTGCAAGGATGGATCAGATGAGGAAAATTGTTCGTACCCACCGTGTGTGGATGGAGAGTTTACCTGTTTGAACGGAAGGTGTATTCCGCAGAGTCAGGTGTGCAACGGAGTCAACGATTGCAAGGACAATGCCACGTCGGACGAAACACACGAACGGTGTCCGAAGAATACGACCTGCCCACCGAATCACCTCAAGTGCGACAAGACCAACATCTGCGTGGAGCCTTATTGGCTGTGCGACGGAGATAACGACTGCGGTGACAATTCGGATGAAGATCCGCTGCACTGCGCACAGAGAACGTGTCCACAGAACAGCTTCCGATGCCCGAACCATCGGTGCATTCCGGCTACGTGGTACTGCGATGGAGACGATGACTGCGGAGATGGAGCTGATGAGCCACCGGAGTACTGCAAATCGGAAGGCCGAACGTGCTTCGGCGATCTGTTTACGTGCGACAACGGAAACTGTATTCCTCGGATCTACATCTGCGATGGCGATAATGATTGCTTGGATAACAGCGATGAGGACAACCGGCACCAGTGCAACGATCGGAAATGTGACGAGGAGACTGAATTCACATGCCAGGAGAACAAGGCTTGGGCGAGGGCGCAGTGCATTCCGAAGAAGTGGATCTGTGATGGCGATCCGGACTGTGTGGATGGTGCGGACGAGAATACGACACTGCACAACTGCCCGACGCCACAACCGTGTAGCGATGATCAGTTTGCGTGTGCCAATGGAAGGTGTATCAATCAGGTAGGTTGCAGTGGGAATTGTGTGAAGTCTTACGGGAGTAACTGATGAGGGGATTATTCTAGGGCTGGGTGTGCGATCACGACAACGACTGTGGAGACGGTTCGGACGAAGGCAAGACTTGCAACAGCCAGTACAAGACCTGTTCGACACAGGAATTCACCTGCCAGAACTTCAAGTGTATTCGGAACCAGTATCGCTGCGATGGGGAAGACGACTGCGGAGATCACTCGGACGAGGTTGACTGCAAGAAGGATAACAACACCTGTCCGCAGGGCAAGTTCACCTGCACGAATGGGCAGTGTATTGATAGCCATCTGGTTTGCAATAAGGTTCCGGACTGTTCGGATGAGTCGGACGAGCCGCTGCACTGCAACGTGGACGAATGTGCCAAGGTGGAGATTCACCGGTGCGGTCACAAGTGCGTGGATACTCCGACTGGGTACTTCTGCGATTGTAATGCTGGATACAAGTAAGTAGTTTGCCGTTTAGTGTGGGAGTGAAAAAGAAGATTTCTAACCGAAAAATTATCTTTCTAGACTCTTGGAGGACGGTAAGGCCTGTGCGGACATCGACGAGTGTATCGAAACGCCGGGAGTCTGTTCACAGCACTGCTCCAACACTCCAGGATCGTTCTACTGCAAGTGCGATGATCGTTACTACGAACGTCAAAACGACGAACATACTTGCAAACGTAAGGACTCGACGAAACCGTGGTTGATCTTCAGCAATAAGTACTACGTGCGCAACATGTCCATCGATGGTCACCAGTACAATCTGATCCACCAGGATCTGATGAACGTGGTGGCGATCGACTTCGATATGAAGGAGGAGGAGATGTACTTCTGCGATGTGACGGCCAAGACGATCTTCAAGTCCAAATTTGGCTCCATCCAGGATGACGTGAAGATCGAGAAGGTTCCGGTTATCAAGCACGACTCGCATGGTTTGGAAGGAATAGCCGTGGATTGGGTCGGTCGCAAGCTCTACTGGTTGGATAGGCATTCTAAGAATTTAGACGTTGCCGAACTGGACGGAACGAAGCGAAAGACGCTGAGGAGCGGAGTTGTCGATCCTCGAGCGATTGCCGTTCATCCAGGAATCGGTTACCTGTATTTCACCTCCTGGCACCTGCAGGCCTACATCGCCAAGATGGGTATGGATGGATCGAACTTCACCCGAATTCTAACCTGGGAGCAGGATATTGCTTGGCCAAACGCTCTGACCATCGATTACTTCACCGATCGCATCTACTGGGCCGACGCCCACTTGGACTACATTGCCTTCTCCGATCTGGAAGGTCACCACCGACATGTGGTCCTCTCAGGAAGCAAGGCCCCACACGTCTTCGCTTTGTCAATCTTTGATGACCATCTCTACTGGACGGATTGGAATCTGAAGGCAATTATCCGGGCGAACAAGTTCACCGGACAGAACTTCACCGTTATCAGGAACACCACGCACCGACCTTACGACGTACATATTAGTCATCCGCTGCGGCAGTTGCCGTACAACAATCCTTGCGGAGCGACCAACGGAGGCTGTACCCATCTATGTCTGTTGGCTCCGCCACTGGAATCTACCTACTTGAATGTCGAAGGCTACATCGAAGAGGGAGCTCCGAGCTACAAGTGCGCCTGTCCGAACCAATTCTACCTGGCTCGGGATTCGAAGACCTGTATCGCCAACTGCACCACCGGTCAGCATCGCTGCGGCGGCACGGACGAGAAATGTATTCCATGGTTCTGGAAGTGCGACGGCGAACCGGATTGTAAGGACAAATCGGACGAGCCGGAAACGTGCCCGGCACGGCATTGCCGAGCGGGAACCTTCCAGTGCAGCAACGGCAACTGTACCCCTTCGACGACGATCTGCGACGGTACGGACGATTGCGGAGACGGAAGCGACGAGCAGAACTGCGACCTGCCTTGCCCGGTGTCGGACTTCAAGTGCAAATCAAGTGGAAGATGCATCCTCGATAGCTGGAAGTGCGACGGCGATGCGGACTGCAAGGATGGCAGCGATGAAGATCCAGAAATTTGTCGTAAGTTGAGATTTTGTTGTAGTTTCGGATCAGGATTTGAGAATGCTTGTTGATTTCAGACAAACGCACGTGCGACCCGGAGACGGAGTTCAGCTGCAAGAACGGCCGCTGTATTCCGAAGCTGTGGATGTGTGACTTCGATAACGATTGCGGAGACGATTCGGACGAACCGGCTTACATGTGTCGCCAGAGAAACTGCACCACGGGATGGTCCCGCTGTCCAGGTCAGTCCAACTACCGGTGCATTCCGAAGTGGTTGTTCTGCGATGGTAAGGACGATTGCCGCGACAACAGCGACGAACTGCCGGAGAACTGCCCCAAGTGCAACACGGAGACGGACTTCAAGTGCAACAACAACCGGTGCATTCCGAAGTGAGTTTGACGGATGGAAGGTGGTTTGAAAGGCGGTTGATTAACATGTTTTGTTTCAGACAATGGATGTGTGACTTTGCCGACGACTGCGGCGACGGTAGCGACGAGTCGGACGCTCAGTGCAAGGGTAAATACCGCGAGTGTTCCGAGTCGGAGTTCCGCTGCGGCAACGGTAAGTGCATTTCCAGCCGGTGGCGTTGCGATCACGAAGACGACTGCGGGGACAATAGCGACGAGTTCAACTGCGAAGGCTTCCAGTGCAAGAACGGAACGTTCCAGTGTACCTCTGGGCACTGTATTGCTTCGTACTTCCGGTGCGATGGTGATCGCGATTGTCGGGATATGTCCGATGAGATCGGTTGCCCGCCGAGGTTCCCTGGAGGACGGTACTGTCCGGAATCGAGGTTCCAGTGTGCAAACAATCTGTGCGTCTCGCCGTCGGATCTGTGCGACGGTACGGACGATTGCGGAGACAACTCGGACGAAGCTGCTTCCGTGTGTACGAACTTCAACTGCGACACGCTGCGGAGGTTCCAGTGCACTAACCATAGGTGCGTGGCACGGTACCAGATTTGCGATGGAGTTGACAATTGTGGAGACGGTTCGGACGAGAACAATATGACACTTTGTGCGACTCGGCAGAAGCCTTGCGACCTGTACACACAATATCAGTGTGCGAACAAGAAGTGCATCGATCGGGCCCAGATTTGCGACTTCGCAGATGACTGCGGTGATAGTTCGGACGAACTGGGATGCCATCACACGAGTACGTGTTTGGCGTTGACGAAGGGAGGTTGCGAACATCACTGCCATAATCTGACGGACGGAGGCTTCATCTGCGCGTGCTACCCAGGGTTCATCATAGATGCGGAGAACAAGAAGCACTGCTTAGACATAGACGAGTGTGCAACGGGAACGCACAAGTGTTCGCAGATCTGTACCAACCTGAATGGAACCTACGCTTGCTCGTGTCGGGATGGCTTCCGCCTGGCGGATGCCGTTTCTGGGGTATGCAAGGCACTGAAGGACGATGTCACGATTGTGTTCAGTAGTGGTCCGGAGATTCGGGCGTACGATCTGAAGATCAACGATCAGTTCGATGTGATTGGAGGCGAGAAGAGGATCGAAGCGTTGGATTACAATCCATTGACGCAGATGATCTTCTGGGCCGATAGCTACGACAAGACGATCAAGCGAAGCTACATGGTGAATGCGAAGAATGGGGAAGTCAAGATCGGTTTCGCTCAGGACTTGAACATGAAGGGTAACTCAAAACCAACGGCACTGGCCGTGGATTGGATTGCGGATAATCTGTACTGGGCCGAAACGGACCGTACGGGATCGAAGCCGAGAGGTAGGATTATGGTAGCCAAGACAGACGGACGGTATCGCAGAGCGTTGGCGAACGCTGGACTCGAGTTGCCGACTTCGATTGCCGTGGATCCACAGCTTGGACGTTTGTTCTGGGCCGATGCTGGATCGGCACCAAAGATCGAAGTTTCCTGGATGGACGGTTCGAAGAGACGGCCGTTGATCACGGATGCCATTCGCCATCCGGCTGGATTGACCATCGACTACTCGCAGGACCATATGGTCTACTGGGTGGATACCAAGCTGAACACGATCGAGGTCATGAAACCGGACGGATCGATGCGTCGAGCGATCTTGAAGGGTGAGATGCTGAAGCATCCGGTGTCGCTGGATGTATTTGAATCGTTCCTGTATTGGATTACCCGGGATACTGGAGAGCTGCTACGACAGGACAAGTTTGGCCGGGGAGTGCAAGTAGCGATACAGAGAAGCCTTGCCAATCCGTCTAGTTTGAAGGGTGAGTTGGAAACGTGTTTGATCTTTGTTGATGGTTTAATAACTTCTATGGGTTGCAGTCTACCATGACCTTCGGTACAACACCTCGCTGAATAATCCGTGCTTCAAGAACGTTTGCACCCATCTGTGCTTGTTGGTCCCCGGTGGAAGACGTTGTGCCTGTCCGGACAATACCGTCCAGCAAACGTCCCATCGTAGCACGGCGGAAGTGGTTTGTGATGCACGTAAGTATAGACCAGATCGGACTTAGGTTGTTGCAGTAGTACTCTAGTGTAAACTTCTTCCAAGCAGCTTCCGAGCACACGAGACCTCTGCCACAGATCTGTCCCTGCCAGAATGGAGGGCAATGCCAGGAGGACGACAGCGGCAATGGGTTGATCTGCGTCTGTCTACCGGAGTTCAGTGGACTGCACTGCGATATATACAGTGAACGAATGTTCGGATCGAGCCCCGGAAGTGCCGCTGCGATCTACATCCCCATTTTGGTGGCCATTCTGATAGCGGCCACCGTAGGGTTGTACTTTATCATCAAGAAGAGGCCCTTGTAAGTTATGCCTGGACCAGAGTGGTTCCCAATGTCGTCAGATTTTGATTGAATTTGTTTGTTTACAGCGGCAAACCCAGCCTGACGTCTTCGCAAAGCGTATCGTTCCGACCGGGCACGAACGTCGAGTTCAACTCGCCCGATTTCCCATCGAATCGACCGGCGACCGGTGTGATACCGGCCGGCAGTGGCGTAGCTCCACTCGATGGCTACAGCATGGACACGCTGAGCAACAAGAACACGGACTTCAGCAACCCGATGTACGATGCTGTACAGTTCGGAACGACAGATCCCAGCATCAGCAATGGGTCAGGTAGGTTTCTAACATCCAAATTTCGATCAGAAATTATGAAATTCACCGTCTTGATCCCATTTCTAGGCATCTACGAGGTTCCCATGGAACCCAAGGGTAGCAAACCTGCGATCGGTCCGTTCACGGAACCGGTTTCGGCCATCCTAGCGCCGAGTAGCATAACGCACCGTACGTCACCGCAGCTGAATCTGCGCCCCAAGGAGTTGAGTCCTTCGTTCCATGACACCGGCAAGGACACCCAACTGCTGGTGGAAGAAGAGGACAAATCCGAGTGCTGATAGAGCATCAATATCCCAATCGAAAACGGAAACATACACAAACCACACTCACACATGCATAAGTGTAAGTGAGAACCAATCGTACACACACACACGCGCCAAGCAAGCTCGCACTCACACCACGCGCGCACTGAACACTGAAAGAAAAGCGCAAGTCCAAAGTGTGCAGTAATATTTATGACTTTTTTTTTATTGAATTTTAAACTTTGTTGATTGGAGCCAAGCTCATGTGGAAGAGTGCGAAGTGGCGCAAAACAAAAGGGCAAACACCTTTTACGAACATTCCCATATGGTTGAAAAATTGTCTTATACATATTTATGCATAGCAACAAACAAACAAAAACACACAGACACACACACACACATGCACATGAAAAGCGTGAAAGGGCTTTGTAAATGAAAATGTTTTGACAAAACGTTTGTACATAGGCAATCTAAGTGTAGTATCGTTAAATTTTTAAAAATGATATTTATATACATTTAACAAAAATGTAGTAAAGCAGAGCTGCAAAACATCCCAAGAAAGACACACCCACACACATGGATATGAAAGAACAATTTCAAACGCACACATACAAACAAAATTATACACAATGACAGTGGTCCAAGATATCGAAATTTTTAAGAACAAGATGTTATTGAGCGTTAAAGGTTAGACAGAGAGAGAGAGTGTAGCACTATTGATGACTGATTGTGCAATCGAGAGCGAGAGGAAACAACACGCCAAAAGCACCCATACATACATGCACACACATACACAAGTGCATTGAAATTTCTTCTGGAGAGAAAGAGAGCTGAGAGGTTGTTATTTTATTGCGGTCTATACGAGGAAGAGAGAAAGCGAACACGCGAGAGCGAGATAGATAAATATAGATATTTATCAGACTAAAAACAAAACTAAGCGCGAGAAAGACAGAGAGAGAGAGAGGGAGAGGTGATATTTTCAAATAATTAACGAAGAAACATTCCTTCTAAAAGAAAAAGAAAAGTCAGAACAGAAAGACCACAAGATACAGCTCAAATCCGTCCAAGATACAGCCAAAACCATTCCCAAATTGCGTCAACGATTAAACCTTAAAGCAGAAAAAAAAAATACTGAAGACGGATGGAAACCGACACCGAGACAATAAAAGATAACGAAGGAAAAAATAAATGGTATCACTACTTTTGTTTAAGTTTAAACTATTTCTGTGTAACTAAAGTACTAATTTACCCGTGAGTTCGTGTAACTGAAAGTGAGTGATTTCCTATGATAAATAAGCGAAGAAGAAAAAAAAGATGTTTTTTACACACTTGATTAAGAACCAAGCAAACTTCCCTGCCGCTGCGCGGGTTTCTTTCAAACCAATTCGCAATCAAATGGGGGAAGGAAGTACATAGATACTGCAGTAGGTTTTAATTAGAGCAGAATCAAATAGTCCGACCACGACATATCAGCAGAGAACAATACAAGCAATTCGAAGCAAACCGAATGCTGCGGTTAACACGAAAGCAATACATGGTAACATGTTAACATGGAACCCCTTATTAAGTGAACTGGAATTGTGTGAAAACAGTTGTGAACATTCACGAGAGAGACAGAGATAATTATTTTAAAAACTGTTTTAATAAAAAAAACTATTTTAAAGATATAATTAGCTTCGTACAGGGTGGAAACGTCACCTTTTTAGAAACAGCCGAAATCCTAAAATGAGAGAACGATGGTTGGTGAAATGGATTGCAAACAACTTCTAAAGCGATTCCCGAGGACTTTAAAGCTTAGAACCATAGTCCTAACTACGATGACTACTCCGTAACGTGGGTAGATCACCTTTTCGTGGTACGTTACGGGATGTAAGATCTACCACCGATTCCTTGTCCTGACTACTTCAAACTAGGGGAACAGGATGTTTCAGTGATCAAAGGAGTGCTCCTTGTTACTGTTTATGTCTTGCTACTAGTGATAAGTCCTCGGGTTGCATGTGCCGAGAATGATCTTGAAACAAGGAAAAAATGAGTTAGTTAGTCTTCATCTATGTGTTTCCTAATCTTCTATTCGTTATTCCCTAGTTTGAAGTGGTTCTGAAGTATGGTCATTGTCTGTCGGTCATGTTGCTAAGGAATCCAATTTTGACAGACAAAGGTGCGCGCCTTTGGAGGGTGCTCTAACCCATCGAAGGGTATAAATAGCGGGACCTTTCAATTAGAATCGATTCCTTGCGATAAAGGGAAGCATGACAACTGTATTGTGGCTAGCTGCGCGTACGCTGAGTAGATAGAAAGAAGATTTATCACGATTTTGAAGATTTCCTGCAAAAAGATGATGCGCGATGCAAGTAGATGCGAGAAATGAAAGAAGATTTTTCAAAGATTTATTGGCTAGTGTGAGATTTTTTGAGCATCTAGAATTGAGATTTAGATGTGTCGCCCCCCTCGTCGCAACTCTCCGTACCGACGCAAAGTTCGGTATAAAGGGAGAGAATGCAAACTTAGTATAAAAATGGTTTATGCGTGCCATAGTATAAAATCGAAATATACTTACAATGCATAGGTACGGTTTATTCGAGAGAATGTATTTTTCGCTTCTTTATTTTATTTATGGTAAATATTATTGTTTTCAAATAAAAATAAAAATTGTCTCAGGAAGCTTTTTCAATTAGTTTATTTTTTATGAATATTATTTTAAAAAATACTTACAATTTCGATGCTGCCCAGCAGATTACAGGCGCAGTAGAAATCCGCCGGGACAAAGCTCTTCACCAGCACGAAGCTCCGAAGGGAATCCAGGTGTTCTTTTTCCTGTCATTTTAGTAAACACTGATTGAATTCCACTCCGTTATTCGGACTTAGTATAATTCTGACGAAAATTTTAATCGAACCTATGTATAAATTTTGAAAAAGCATAAAATGCATAAAATTTAATCTATATTCGTTTTGTAATATGTTTGAGTGCACAAGAAATCCGGAAGATATATAACCACTAAGGCACTTTTCTAATTTTCCATTTTTCTCAACAAAAATATTCCTGAACACCAGCAGGATCTTTGCCAAAACCACAAACGAAGTGACAGACGGAGCGGCTCGAAAACTTTGGTGACTAACCTGCTATTGCAATTTTTCAGTGTACCACATGGCAACACCACTACTATTGGATTGTACCACATGGCAAAACTACTACCACAAACGAAGTGACAGACGACTAACTGGCGAAGAAATTAATTCAAATAATGTGGTTCGCTGTAATAGAATTTTCTTAGAAGTTTGTGCCATCATCCACCAGATGGGATAGTATTTTTGTTTTGGTTTTGCACAAAGTTGATTTTGTGTACAACGATTCTTTGACAGTGTGCAAAGAGTGCGCATCATTTTGTCATTTTTTTATGCATTTCAGTTTTGAGTAGAGTGAAAGAGATAGAACCAAAACATTCTAGTACATTTGGTGAAAATGCTAGTTCAATCTAGTAGTAGTACTACGCACTCTTTGCACACTGTCAAAGAATCATTGTACACAAAATCAACTTTCTTCAAATCAAAACAAAAAAACTAACCCATCTGGTGGATGATGCCACAAGCTTCCAAGAAAATTCTATTGGCAAATCAAAGTTGGCACTCGTGGAGAATAGACGAACTATGAAAGTGATGATGGTTTCAAAATTTTCCACGGAAAGGTATACGAGTGCAATCTTAAAATTCTTTTATTTTGAAAATGGAGCATTTTATTTAAATCTGGTAAGTGCTACGTTAGTAGAAAACTGGCGGACTACTCAATAGACATATAATATAAAAATAATAATTTCTTTTCAGATTTTTAGGTGTATACATAGATTTCAGCTTTTCTACAACTGTAGCAGCAACCAGATTTAAAAAAAGGTCCATTTGCAAAATAAAAGCATTTTAACATTGCACTCGTATACCTCCCAGTGGAAAATTTTGAAACCATCATCACTTTCATAGTTCTTCTATTCTCCACGAGTGCCAACTTTGATTTGCCAATTACAGTGAACCACATTATTTAAATGGATTTCTTCGCCAGTTAGTCGTCTGTCACTTCGTTTGTGGTTTAACTTTCCCCCATATTAACTTCAAATGGTTTGTGCCAAGTCAGTTTCTTACCAATTGAGTTTAAAATTTGGAAGGTTAATCAGGACCCGACTTGGAACGGATTGAGCACTGTGGAGCGAAAATTTCAAATTTTGCATCAGTACAGGGTACTTGCCAGTTACAGTGTACTTCCTCATAATTTGTGACATAATTCAGTAAGTGTGGTCCCTTTACGTGAGTCATCCTACCTGTCATAAAATCATCTCGGGCGGGAGCTCACAGTCTCCCAGTGTTGGTGAGTTCTTTGCCGTTAATGTTCACGAAAAGTTCACTATTTTACCATACAGAAATTCAAATAAAAAATTGTATGGGCGGATTTGTTCAGTTTTTGACCTGTTTCATACGACCGGAAGGTGTATGCTGGTCACAAATGCCGTGCCAAACTGATTTCCTACGCAATTAATAAATCTTTGATGTGAATTTCGCTAATAAACACGAGGAGCATTTCTTATAGCAAAACTTGCCATATCAAAATGGACATAGTTCATTTTAGTAAACAAACTAACACTTCTTCCTTGTGTGTCACCTTTGTATTAAGCGCCTAGTACCAGGACGCTTTCACCAGTCAAGCCGTCGGAGTGGGTCGACGTCGGATTGTCATACGCTGCGTTTAACCGGTAGGGTACCGACTTTGATCGAGACGGCTAATACATAGGTGTAACAGTCGGAAGAAGTGTTAGTTTGTTTACTTAAATGAACCATGCCCATTTTGTTATGGCATGTTTGCTATAAGAAATGCGCCTCGTGTTTATTAGCGAATTTCACATCAAAGATCGATTAATTGAGTAGGAAATCAGTTTGGCACGGCATTTGTGACCAGCATACACCTTCCGGTAGTATGAAACAGGTCGAAAACTGTTCAAATCCGCAGATAAAATTTTTGTTTTGAATTTCTGTATAGCAAAATAGTGAACTTTTCGTGAACATTAACGGCAAAGAACTCACCAACACTGGGAGACTGTGAGTTCCTGTCCACCTGTCATTTTCCATCGTGAACTTTGATGACCATCCAGTTTTCTCGGAAGGCAACAAACTGAGGTGCTCGCTAGCCCCAGAAAGAGGACTCCCAGCTTCCTTCGAGTGAGGATGGGGATATGCAACGAGCCAGCGGAACGCCGACTGCAGGGCGAATCCGTACTACAGGGCGACGTGGGCACCGGCACGGCGCTTTTCTAGCACCACGATGGGGACTACCGGCTTTCTTCGGCGATGACGGAGATGTGCACTGGATGGCTGGGCTCTAATCGGGACTGGTAGTTGTTTACCCGGGAAGTGAGTCTGGGCGATTCGCTCTGGCAGTGGCAAGCTTTTCCCAGACAGACCACTCACGGATTGTTACTACCTCATTGTAGGGGGTAGTGATCGCGAGGTCAAACTTCCTTCTTCGAGGACCACGCACTCTGCAACTATTATTAGCCAAACGCAGCCACGAGGTGAAAAATAGTCCGGGATCGCCGCCAGTCTCACCGATAGCACGCGGATCTTAGGTTTTGCATCGTCGGGGTTAACCTCAATCTGATGACAGTTCAGTGGTACTGTTTACGTGGACTTAGTCGATTTTTTCTTGGGTGGATTTTCTCGATAATTTTTCAGACTGCAGTGAGATGTAAACCACACTTCTGCAATGTCCACGAGCAACATCCTTTCAACGCGCTGTTCCTCGACAATTTTCAAGTAAAAAATCGGAAATTTTAGAATATTTTTTTTTTCGAAAAAAAAACGACTAAGTGCTTGTAAACAGTACCACTGAACTGTCAAAAAGGTTCAGCCGATTAACACATAAAATGATTTCGGATAGGCAAAAGTGAAGACAAACACAAAAACACTCTTTAATGAAAAAAAAAAACGTTTTAATTCTCGACCGATTGTTTTGATAATAACATGAGGAATGAAAAACAGTATAGCAACAGTATACAGTTACCACCTCACAGTAGAGTTGCCACGGTTGCCATTCTAACAGCCTCCGTCAACCGCAGCAACTCACCAAACCAACATTAGCCCGGTGACGATGAAGGGCAGACGCTGGAAGACTCTTGGTCATCATGTCCGCCGGTTGTTCCATGGACGAAATGTACCGAATACAAATCCGTCCATTCTTCACCAAATCACGAAGAAAATGAAATTTGACATCCACGTGCTTCAGCCGTCCGTGGTTCTTGCAGTCCTCCGCAATCCTTATTGTGGACTGATTGTCCTCGAAGAAACTCACCGGAAGTTCATCGACCGTTCCCAAATCACGAAGCAGCCAAATTTCGTAACAAGCAGCAGCACACAATGCGTTCAGCTCAGCTTCCGTAGAGGATAGTGAGACCACTTGCTGCTTACGCGTCATCCAACCGGTAGTGCATCCAGCAACTTTGAATACACAACCACTGACGGAACGTCGGTCCACTGGATCATTGGCCCAGTCCGCATCGGAGAAAATCTCGACCATCGGAGCCTTCAAATCAGCACAATACATCAATCCGACATCCTGAGTCCCTTTTATGTATCGCAAGATACGCTTTAAGTACGTCCAATGTTCATCCGTGGGGCAGCTCTGGGATTGACTAAAAAAATTCACTGCCGCTGACAGATCCGGTCTTGTTGTTAGCGAAGCATAAGTTACGCAACCCACAAGCTCTCGATATGGCTTTGACGGCCGCACCCTTCGGTAATTTCAAGCGGCACTCCATGGGCGTAGATCGGCGTAGATGCCGGTTTGCACTCCTCCATACCGAAACGATGCAGTAGGTCCTCCAATTATTGCCGCTGACTGATGTGCAACACTCCTGCTTCCATATCACGATTGATTCGCATCCCTAAGAAACTCTTGATCTCGCCCGCATCGGTCATCTCGAATTCAGAGGCAAGGCAACGCTTCACTACCTCCACCGCTTTCAGCGATGTTCCAGCAACAATGACATCATCCACGTACAGCACGATTATCACCTTCTCGCTCCCGATCATCCTAATGTAGAGGCACTGGTCGTTTGAACTCCTGTTGAAACCCATGCGACCCTCTACGAACCCATGGAAACGATCATTCCACGATTTCGAGGCCTGCTTCAATCCGTAGATTGATTTCTGCAAGCGACAGACTTGATCTTTGCCGTTCTCGAAGCCTTCAGGTTGCACCATAAATATTTCATCCTTGAGCTGGCCGTTGAGGAACGCCGTCTTAACGTCCATCTGGTGGATCGTCATCTTCTTCTTGTTTGCCAGAGCTAACACTGTTCTCAGAGTGTCAAGTTTAGCCACCGGAGAATACGTTTCGCAGTAATCGAAACCGTATGTCTGGCTGAAACCTCTGGCCACCAACCGAGCCTTAAACCGGTCGGGTTCTCCATTCAAGCCACGCTTTATTTCGAAAATCCACTTGCTCGTTATCGGCGTTCGGTTTGCTGGTAGCTGCGTCAGTTTCCAGGTTCCATTCTTCAGCAAGGAATTCATCTCTTCATCGACAGCCTGTTTCCATGTGCACCAATCGTCCCGCTTCTGGGCCTCCGCCAGTGACTTCGGTACATCCTGAAAGTAGTTTACGGCGCTCAAAGCATATGCCGCGTAATCTACATCGTAGTCCTGATGCCAGGAAGGAGGGCGCTTTTCCCGTTGTGGTCTCCCAGATTCCACGTTGATATCCGGCGCCGGGCCAGCATTCTCCTTCGATCCGTCCTCGTCACGAAAACTTCCGAATTCATCATCAGACGCTTCTGAAACGGCTTCGTCTGCACCTTCGGCGGAACCTCCGCTCGCTTCATTGTCAGAATCCTCGCTTTCCTGAACACTGTCCCGATCGCTTTCGTCCGACTCTTCATCACCTACTGGAGGTAACACGAATCCACCAGGTGATTGCTTCTTCTCAACGTCTGTTTGACCTCCCTCTGCTTCAACGAAATCCACATCCCGCGCATGAATGATTCGCTTCGTCTTCGGGTTCCAAATCCGGTGACCGTTATGTGCGTATCCGATGAAAACACCTTTCCAAGCCTTCGGATCCAACTTCTTGCGTAACTCCTTCGGCACGTGAACAAAGACTGCACATCCGAATGCTCGCAACTTTGGGACATTCGGCTTTCGTCCCTCCCACAACTCGTACGGAGTCATACCAGCACCAATCGCATTTGACGGGCTTTTGTTGACCAAGTACGTCGCTGTCTGGATGACAGGTGCCCAGAACCGCTTGTCTACTCCTGAATCCTCCAGCATAGACCGCGTTCGCTCCACGAGTGTGCGGTTCAACCGCTCGCTAACGCCATTCTGCTCGGGCGTATATGGGACCGTCCATTCAACTTGGATTCCCTTACGCTTACAAAAATCATCAAACATCTTGCTACGGTATTCACCTCCGTTGTCGCACCGCAATCGGCTTATTTTTACACCGAACTTTGCGGTAACCAACGCCTCATACTGTTGGAACAAGACTTTTGCGCTCCATCGAGAGGAATGTCTACGGGATCGATAAAAATATCGTTGTGCTCAGAAAACGAAGCTCTATCAGATGATGTATAAAAATCGGTATATTTTTTGAAGTTAAACAACCCAATGAACAACTTTAATTATTGACAAAATTTTATATTTTAATTATTTTCAATAACTTTAAATTATGTTTCATTACATTAAATATCGTTATTTATTTGTTGATTACGTTCAATACCGTACATTTGTTTGAAATAGTTCCAGTTTGTAATGCAGATTACGAATATGCGATGACCTCAATACCCCTAAAGAACCCAATTAAATTACTACGATTTATTTTAAATATCACGCGCACCCCTCGGCAAATCCACTTTTTGCTTAATTGAGTCGAATTCAACTCATTTTTGAGTTGGTCTTACTATCCGTGCACACGCATGCGCACGAACCCAAAACACCAACGGAATGTTTACAAATTGATTTTCACATACTTCTCTAGTGCTAAGAGTTTCGACAAATTGACATTTGAATCTTTGTTTACATAAGAAGATACGTCCCTTTGAAACAAAAGGATTATTATTCTAGCAGACAAAATTTGGATCCTTATTCCTTTGCAACTGTCTCCACAGACGGCTAATGCCAGTGTGGTCCATCTCGCCTAGATCCTTATAAAAGAGATGAACTAGCCTCAGGCTAAAAATCTCTAAAATAAAGACAAAAAAAAAAAAAAAACCTAGATCCTTATTATTACTTAAGTATGTTTCTTCTCTAAACACAATCTAAACTAACGATTTTTCACTGAACCTGTTAATATTTAATAACACAAAAATATCTTCAATCTAATAAAAAAAAATCTTGTTACCATCGACACCGCGATCCAATCCCCAATGAAAACTAAACAAACCTGTTTCTCTCGCTCGCTCGCATTCGCACGCACACAAATCGAACACCTCAGGTAGTAGTGGTGATCTCATTCTCGGTCAACACTACACAACTTTGAACGGTACATCATCATCATCATCATTATCGTCATTGACGGGTTCTCTCGGTGTTGGTGCTTGTGTGACAGCTGCCGCAGCCCGAGACGGCTAATACATAGGTGTAACAGTCGGAAGAAGTGTTAGTTTGTTTACTTAAATGAACCATGCCCATTTTCTTATGGCATGTTTGCTATAAGAAATGCGCCTCGTGTTTATTAGCGAATTTCACATCAAAGATTGATTAATTGAGTAGGAAATCAGTTTGGCACGGCATTTGTGACCAGCATACACCTTCCGGTAGTATGAAACAGGTCAAAAACTGTTCAAATCCGCAGATAAAAATTTTTGTTTTGAATTTCTGTATAGCAAAATAGTGAACTTTTCGTGAACATTAACGGCAAAGAACTCACCAACACTGGGAGACTGTGAGTTCCTGCCCACCTGTCATTTACCATCGTGGCCGCAGCCCACGATGGTAAATGACAGGTGGGCAGGAACTCACAGTCTCCCAGTGTTGGTGAGTTCTTTGCCGTTAATGTTCACGAAAAGTTCACTATTTTGCTATACAGAAATTCAAAACAAAAATTTTTATCTGCGGATTTGAACAGTTTTTGACCTGTTTCATACTACCGGAAGGTGTATGCTGGTCACAAATGCCGTGCCAAACTGATTTCCTACTCAATTAATCAATCTTTGATGTGAAATTCGCTAATAAACACGAGGCGCATTTCTTATAGCAAACATGCCATAAGAAAATGGGCATGGTTCATTTAAGTAAACAAACTAACACTTCTTCCGACTGTTACACCTATGTATTAGCCGTCTCGGCCGCAGCCAACCATGCCGCAGGCCGCAGCACTACAGCGAGTGAAGGAGTCAACCTCTCTTCACTCCTTCGGCTTCAATCTTCAGTCTCGACTGACTCGCGAATCGTTCTAGTTCGGTTTGTTAGAATTTTATGTGTTTTTCCGTGCTTCTGTGAAAGGAAAGGTAGATTTTTTTGAATTTTTGTGTGATAATTTCCCAATGTGCGATGTGCTATTCATAATTTGTGTTAAAAGTAGCCGAAACTAATCCGAAAAGACTGAAATTATTGAGGTCAAAATTAGTGCAACCCGACTGTGATACAAGTATTGGCACCAGAAAATTCCACATCTCCGGATCCAGTCCGGATAATTGGCTAGTTAAAACAATGTCTAAATTCGGAAGTTGGAGGTGACATTATGAAAACGAATCCAATATTTTTTATTCTACGTAAGCACCCAGCACCTAGCACGCAGTTTTGCAAAAGTAGTATCAATAAGAAGTAGCGACTTAAAAGTCTGAGAGGACTCTTGTTATCAGCCTTATCATCGCGTAGAAGATTACGTCTCCAGGCACTCCGAATTGTACGTGCAAAATGTGTAGCAACTGTAAATCATCATCTCGAAAAGCACGATCAGAGGCCCCTGGTGCGATTATGCAATCGAGTAGAAAAAAGCCAGAATCCCTAAATTGTAGTGCGATGCAGTAGAAGTTGAAAAATCGACGAAAAGTGAGAAGATGCACCACACCGTGGGTTGTTGAAGAGAATGCACTTTTTGCGAAGCGACAGGCAATACACAGATGCACCGTTGCTGGTGGCCACTGCACAAATACACTATACTCACACCTTAGTTTCGGTCGGTTAGAACCGGGTGCATGGATGTTATTCAATATAGGTACCTATCCATCCGCAGACGACGACAAAGTAGAAGATTGGCATTTACCCCTTAATTCTTCTGTACACTTGCCAAGTTTGCACCAGAGACAAGCCCCTTATTCCTTTATTTGCTTTCGCTATCTTATCTAAGCATGTAGCATTGCATATTGTTCTTCTCCTAATCAACAAGTCATGCTCGGTCTTGACCTTTTGTGTGCTGTTCTGAATCGCATCCTTAAGTCGATTGTAAACACAAACTTGCATGTTGCTTGACCTATTTTCTTTCCGTTGCTTATTTACCAAGGCGTGCTTTTCTTTCGCTCGCGGTCGCAAACACAACGAGCAGGATGATCAAGGACGCATGGGTGGAAAAGCGTGTCATGAAAATTTCAACACTGAATCAGACGTCGTGGCGCCGTAGGAAAACCGTTTTGTGTTGTTTTGGTTTTCTTTCCCAGAATAAGAAACATATATGGCCTATGTTTATCACAATATATCACTGTTATCAGTGTTGCAGCGATTTACGTAACCGCTTCTGTAAACATTTGCAATTTTGATGGCAACAGATAATAGTGTTTGCACGTTTGTTGAAACGGACAGACACATGATCGCTAATGAAACGAAAAAAAATCTACGCTAACGAGAAGTTTATCCACCTTTTGTAGGATGTTCTACACGGCCGATCAATCTTACCCAGTGACTTAGTAAATTTGTATTGCTAGTAAGTGCTTAGTTTCTATGAAAACTGGGTAATATTTCCGTGAGAAAAAAATAGATTGTAATAAAAATTTACTCAGTTACTGGGTAAGATTGAATGGCCGTGTGCAACGAATCTTTTCCTTTTGTCGATTTACCACTTCAGAAATCCGGTCTGTCTGGTTTGGGTGGATAGAGAGGGTGAAATTTGGCATTAAGAGCGAGTTATTTTTGTTCTCTTATATTTTTCTGACCGTTGTCGCCATGCCTACACATTATTGACGGTCAGTTAAAATCGGAGAAGCAAATTTCGGACGGTAATATTTTAATAGGCCTGGAAAACTTGGCCTCTTGCGGTCATCTTTTAAAACCTCTTGATGATGCTGATTTAAATAAAAATTCACTGTGATGTATGGGAGTTAAATCACCGACAAACCGACATGACACTTAACTCTGAGTAATCCCCGAAAATCGTAAACGGCTGATTGAGATTAAAGAGCCTGGATTTATAAAGAGGTGACATGTCAAAATTGGAACATTCGATTGTCTGTCAAAGTCATAGTTTTTATCATTCCAATCGAGCAGAATACCTGTCAAATGGATAAGATGTCGCCTCTTTATAAATTCAGGCTCTTTAATTGAAATGTGCAGTGATCCGAACTGTCAAAACCATATGATTTTTTTTAACTAGATAAACATAATTTGTCCAGAATAGATCAGACAAGAACCAATTCATAACTTTTACATGCGGGTTCATGGCTTAGCTAAATATTTCCCGCGAACACGGAGCCAGGTGTCAGTAGTGAGCTATATCAATTTTTTTATTGTTTTTGCTATGGTCATTCATGTCGGTTTGTCGGTGGTGAAATCTTAAAATGCTTCTATTTATCAAATACATCTTTAATTATTATTATTTTCTAGGTTTTTTTCGATGATCCTACGGATGATAAAAACTCAAGAACTGTTCAACAGACGTATTATATACGTCGCATACGCATACGTATACGCAGAGGAATGGATTGCACGTTCAACAAAATATTGTTTTTTTTTTTTGCAAGGAGGAAACCTTCCAAAAGGCCGTCATGCCACTGCTTGCTTGTTGGCTGAATGGGCGCACGGTCGCGGTGACACGATGCGTGGGATTCTTACCACAGTAAAACACCTTGCCCGTATTCCCCCGGGACCACTTGTGGTATTACTTCGGAGGGGGCTGTGCATTACGCACCTCACTTTACCTCAGCTTACTGCCGCTTCTAGTTTGCTGATCGTTTCTCCAGTTTGTGAGCCATTTAGCTCTCAGCGTAGTCGCGTTCTACTCGGCAAACCCCTGGCGGTGGATTCAGCCTACGCCGACGGAGAGTTCCCCGGTGATAGAAGATCTCCCGGCTCCGTCTTTCACTGCGCACTGCGCACATTACTGCTGACAGCATTAACGGTGCCCTCCTCTAGACACATTTCTTCGACCACATTCTCCGCGCTAAGGGCGATCATCTCCTCTCGCACAGCATCAAATCTAGGACACTCGAAGACCAAGTGCTCTGGTGATTCTTCAACATTCCCACACTCCGGACAAAAGGGTGACGTTGTGTATCCGAACCGATGCAGGTACTTCCTGAAGCAGCCATGACCAGACAGGAACTGTGTCAAGTGGAAGTTGACTTCTCCATGCTCACCCAGGTTGAAAGAATCTGTATTAGCCTGTGTGTCCATCTACCGTTCTCCGCTGCATCCCACTTCTGCTGCCACTTAGCCATCGACACCGTTCTCACCACTTTTCGTACTTCTCTCCTCATATAGCACTCGTTATCCTCCGCCAGGGTAATGCCGATTGGGATCATACGGGCGATTGCGCATACTGCCTCCGTCGAAATGGTTATGTGCGTACTCACGACTTGCATGGCCATGAGCAGAAACGAACGGCTCAATTTCCTTTGGTTCTGCTTCGTTTCCAGGCTAGACATCCGTACTTTAGTATCGATGAGGACACACTAGCCAGAAGACGCTTCTTGCTGCTGCTTGGACCAGAATTGTTCGGCATGATTCTGGCTATCGCGTTGATGGCCTTCGCCGCCTTATCGCACGCATATTCGACGTGGCTGTTGAAGTTCAGCGGGTCGTCGATCATTACTTCCAGATACTTCAGTACGCACCTCGCAACAATGGCGTGCTCTCCGACGGTGATTTCTGCCCGCTGCACTGTTTTACAGCTACTGACCAAAATCACTTCTTTTTTGTGGTGGGCTATCTGCAGTTTCGCATCTTACATCCAGTAACCTATCGGCAATGGCTTCCCAGCTAGCGCTATTGAATGCATCTCCTCTCCGCTTCTGTTTGGAAGCTTTCTTGGCTCTGTCAACCGCTGTCTGAATTGCATCCACCGTCGATCTCCCTTTCCGGAATCCGCACTACCAATCCGTGTCAGCCTGTTCAAGATGATCTACTCCAAGAGCATTCCGACAGTATTCACCAAGCATATTGGCCTATACGATGCAGAATCCCCTGGCGGTTTTCCGGGCTTCGGCAGCAGCACAAGCTTTTGTACCTTTCACCTGGATCGCCTGGATCGCCGCCTTCAACGCCACGTTGGGAATTCCACCCGGGCCAGGAGCTTTCTTCGGCTTTAACCTCGCCGTATGGTGTTGGTGACCAGGTCGTTGGATAATGCTGTGGGAAAAGTCCCTCCACGATGACTTTCAGCTAGTTTGGGCACATTTCAACCGGCATCGTTGGACCTCTGATCTTCGTTATCGCGACTCAGTATGCATCGGCACAGCTCCTTGAAACTGTTTGACTTGCTCTGTTTTATCTTTCGTTTTAGTGTAGCCCTGGCCGCTCGAAAGACCACCGTGCGCTCCTCTCTGTCTGCTTCAGTTTTTGCTCTCTGAACGCGTCTTCTGGCTAGAAGACAACTAACACGGAGGGTGCTAATTTCCTCGCTCCACCAGTAACCTGGACGCCGCCTGTACGTTGGCTCCAGTATTCTCGGCATAGTTGTGTCACATGCCCATGCTAACGATTCGGTCAACTCGTTCGCGCTTAGGCCCGGGACGCTGCTGTCTACCCATAGTGCTTCGATGAAGGGATCCTTATTGAATGCCTTCCTCTCCCACTTCCGCTCGCTTACTTTCGTGCTTCGCATTTCCACCGGTGTCCGTTCGCCGATACTGTACCGGAAAGCCTGATGGTCACTATGGGTGTACTCTTCGCACACTCTCCACTTCATACTTGCCACTAGCGACGGACTACAAAAAGTGACTTCGATAATGGATTCCCTACCATCTTTGCGAAAGGTGCTGATGGTTCCTAAGTTGGCCAGACTGAAGTTCAACTTTGCCAGAGCTTCCAGCAGGCTACATCTAAAGATTCCATTGATTTTGGCTATCACGAATCCTTCGTATGAGCCCGCCACCACTTGTTGAATGGGATACCTGCCCATGACTTGTATGGCCGCCACTCCTGCTCTATCCACCACCCAGGAAAGGGACTCGATACGGCTCTGCAATGATGGCAACGGCTTACTTTGTTTCCGTTGTCGACTGCCAAAACAGTTGCTGTGCTGTGTTGCAATGATTGAGATTTATTTGGGTTAACTCTATTATGGGTGCACGACGTT